AAAACCCTCTGACACTCACCTGAGAGTGCTTGCTTCCACAGACCAGAGGGAAGATGTGCTCCTATCTTCAGCACTAGTTCATTGCCAGGCGCTCACAGTTACTTTCGTTTTTCTATCACGTACAGTTATTGCCTCGTTCTCCTGATCCTGGACAAAAAGCAAACACAAAGTAGCCCTCCCTCCAGCCTCCTGGCCAGAGGACTTATGGTTTGCGCGTTCTGAGTCGGGCACCAAAATGTCAGCAGTGGTCAGGGTGACCTCTGGCCAGAGAGATGAAGAATGCAAGTGAGAGGGGGAGTATCTGTCTCTTTCCCAGGAAACCGGACCCTATATTCCTCTAACGTGTAGTGTCTACCCCTATTTCTGCCATACATGCAGCCATTTCCTAAAGTACAGTTTCTACAGAGAGGAAGGCAAGAATGCAGATTAAGAAGTCCAGTCAGGCAGGCCAGGCACTTTAAATCATAACAATGCATATGTAACAAAATAGTGCACCGGGAGTGTGGGCACGGGGAAGTCATGACTGCAAGTGGAATTCCTGGAGTTTAATGTGATGCGTTGAAGTGTGCTGTTTGTGGAGGGGGCTCCCGGAAGCTGTGACACCGCTGGTTATCCCCACTCCTTTTATGTGCTTTATTCTCTCTCACCAGCTACATAAAACAACCGTGAGGACCTGGAGTACTGGATGACCAGCCCTTCTATGTGCCCCCCAGATGGGTCAAAGTTTAATTACAAGTGTATTCTGGAGTCCCTGTGAGGCTCTTACATGTTAGGAGGAAAACCCTCTGTGAGTACCTAAGAGTGCTTGCTTCCACAGACCAGAGGGAAGATGTGCTCCTATCTTCAGCACTAGTTCATTGCCAGGCGCTCACAGTTACTTTCGTTTTTCTATCACGTACAGTTATTGCCTCGTTCTCCTGATCCTGGACAAAAAGCAAACACAAAGTAGCCCTCCCTCCAGCCTCCTGGCCAGAGGACTTATGGTTTGCGCGTTCTGAGTCGGGCACCAAAATGTCAGCAGTGGTCAGGGTGACCTCTGGCCAGAGAGAGTACTCTGTGTCTTCGGTCTTCTCTTCTTATAGGAACAAATTCCTACAAGAGACAATAAATAGTAGCAAAAACAGGTGAGAATTTATTTGCAGAAAAGGAATACACTCAGATATAGTCTGAACGGGCAAATCAGCAGGCCAAAACCCAACCAAGTGCCCCGTTTCGTTGGGGTTTGGGGTGCCCTAAGTAAGTTTCCCCCTCCCTTATTTCTCAAAAATATATATCTTCAAGCTATAAGGCTCCTTTACCCAGGTGTTATGCCATCAGTTAGACCACATCCTGAAGGGACCCTAAATCTTCTCTCCTCACATAGGGGTCTGCTGCCTCCATTGTCTAGTTTTGGTTTGTCACATCTTACATCTCTCCCCTGCAAGCCCCAACTGCCTTTCCCAGCTCATATTTTCCTATCTGCCTACTCAACAATGTGACTCAGAGACGACCCCAATTCCTACTTTGTTCCCTCAGTTTTCTCCAAGAGTCAGCCTGGACCAGGAAATATTTTCCAGTCCAGCCTTGGACCAGGGTCCTAAATGCTTAGGTACTGGGATGAGCAGAACTCAAGTCCCCAGCCACCACTTCACACCCTCCCCAAGTCAGTTTCTCCCATTTGTTCTCAGTCTTTAGAGCTTTTTGTGTGTGTGTGCTTATGGAACAAGATGATCAGTTCCCAAAAATAAAAACACATCTAGAGAATTTTGGTTTCCTTATTGCAGGATGCACAAAGTTTTTGTTTCAGCTACCTCATTGACACATAGGAAGTGCTATCAAAATGTCTCTTCTGTGCTGTCTGTGGACAGTAAGCAAAGAATGATTTAAAATGGTTAATATTTGCTCTGCCCCAAAAGCAATTCAACTAGAACACACTCTTCTTTTTGGCTGCCTCTTTGTGTTTGTTTCTATGTATTCGGTAGCTCGTCTATGACTCCCAGTCTTTGTTGGGTGGCCTAACATAGTAGGTGTCTTGTGGGGTCCAGTGGTGCAGTGTCCTTGTTCACCTGAGTTGGGTGCTCTGTGGATTATTTTGGCCCTTCTGTTATAACTGAGTTTTGTTTGCCGTTGGCCTGTTTGTGTGTGGGATTGACCCTCAGGCTGGCTGACTGTAAGGCTCAACCCTGATCGCAGTGTGTGAACTGCTGTGCAGGTGCTGACTGCAGCAGGGTTTGATGCCTGCTGATATGTATATGTATATGTATATGTATATGTATATGTATATGTATATGTATATGTATATGTATATGTATATGTATATGTATATGTATATGTATATGTATATGTATATGTATATGTATATGTATATGTATATGTATGTATATGTATATGTATATGTATATGTATATGTATATGTATATGTATATGTATATAATATGCTGCTTGCTAAGCTTATTGGATCCTGCTCTGCTGTTGTCCGAAGTGGGCCACTGGGTGTGTTGGTTCTAGGCCTCTTGGGGTAGACTCTGATGCAGGCCAATATAAGATGCTTCCTGTGACTCCCCCTCAGCAACCCTGTTTGGAGCTACAAGCGATCCACTGTTTGTGGTTGCCTCTGCTGCACCTGAGTTGTGCATGAATGATCAAGCTATGCACCAAGGCTGGCTTTTACCAGCCCTGAACCCAGTGGTAGGTCAACAAAAATCCCAAAGCACCTTGAGGTCCACCTCAGTCTAGCTTTGGCTGCTGGCTGCCTGTTAGGCTCACTGATTGGAAGAGCCTCTGGCTGTACCCCTCAGCAAGGTATAAGTTCCACTGGGTGGGGTGAGAAGGAGTCCAGAAGTTGGGACTGTTGCTTTCCCCCAGCCTGATGCCACAGGGAGGGGATTGCTCTAGCTAAGAAAGAGTGTCTACGGTATGGGAGAATGACTTGGCACAAGGATCCTGGCGCTTGCCCTTCAGCTCCTTCCCCAGAGCCAGAACCCCAGACTCTCTTCACACAACTCTATTCCACTCTACCTTCCCTCCGCCAGAGCTCAGAGTGAGTGGCTGCAGACTAAATGTTGTGTTTTTGCCCTTTAAGCAGTTGCCTGTATTTCTAGTGGACTCCATCTCTCCCTGGTGGACAGAAACTCCGCTGCTTTTCACTGTCAGTTATTATGTGACCTCCTCTTCCTAGCTCTCGTGCTCTGGGATGGGGAGCCTGGTTTGAGGTTTAGACCCTGCATTTCTCAGGGGAAAACCCCTGCATGTGAGATATCCCTCAGAACATCAGCCACTACCTACGGGGCAGGGCCAGCATCTCCGCCCTCCCTACCAGTCTCGATGTGGCTTCTTCTCTAAATCCTTGAGGCTGTCTGTCTGTCTGTCTGAGCTGGAATCCCCGTCCATAGGGCCCTAGTACTGCCCTGGGAATATGCATTCAGCCAATTCTTAAATGAGGCTTTTGTTTAAAAAATAAATAAATGTTTACACCTGCATGGCTGTGCAGATTTACTAAGCACATCCACATGTGTATCCAGTTAATCCCTGAAATAACTCTGCAGTGAGGACAAGGGACCCAGGAGATGTTCAGTGAGGGTCTTGGCATCCATCAGGGAGTTATCAATATTCGGATAGTAATTGAGGTCATGGGCCCCACGTGTGAACATATGAAGATCTGAGGGCCTCCAGCAAATGGAGCAGAGCTGGGCCTCCTGGGGTGCTGCTGGGAGGCCAGTGGTCATGCCAGGGAAAGGGGCCTTAAGGAGGGACCGCCAGGCAGTTTCCTCACCACTGAGAAGCCAAGTAGCACCCAGCATGGAGATGGCACAGAGCAGAATCTGAATATATGGAGGTCAAATTCTCTCTCTCTCTCTCTCTCTCTCTCTCTCCCAACCCTTTTCAAATTTGCTCACACCAGGGATGGGACCCTCATCTATGCACTCAGAGTGCAAGCTTGTGATTGATTCATTTCTCACATGAACTCATTTGTCAGCAAAACTTTAGGTTTCACTGGGGGTTTGAAAACCTTACATCATATATTACTTTATTGGAATAAGACCATATTGATTACTTTTATAGCAACTTTAACTTCAGAGGAAGATGAGGTTATAAAATCAGAATAAAGATTCATAAACTAAAGTGATACTTGGATTAAGAGGACCCTGGTAAGATATCTTCAGCAATTTTCCTGTGTCTGGCATCTCTATGTTCAAGGTCTAAATTTTGACAAGGTTTCTGTGTCCTAAAATGCTGTGACCAGTGATTGCCACTTGGTGTAATACTCTGCTAGACTCTAACGTAAGGGGATGGTGCTCCGTCTTCAGTCTTACACATCGGAGTACATTTCTAAGTGAGAAAGGCACCAAGATGAGTCAGTGATATTTTCAGCAGTTTAACTATAGATCCAGTTTCGTTGTGGTTGAAGAGGTCTTATGAGTGGAGCATGTTTGAGGATTTTTTTGGTTTTCTCAAACACAGAATTTTCCCTCTCCAAAGACACCATACCAAATCTTGGTTTCCTGAAAAGAAAAGAAAAATGTAGGCCCATGATTCTTACTCCTTAAAGTTAAATTTTACAATCCGAATCCTATTATTCATGCCCAGCCAGAGTGGCTTAGTTGGTGCACCAAAGGATTGCCAATTTGATTCCTGATCAAGGCACATACCTGGTTTGTGGGTTCAATCCCTGGTTGGGGCACATATGGAAGGCAACTAATTGATGTTCTCTCTCTCTCTCTCTCTCTCTCTCTCTCTCTCTCCCTCCCTCCCTCCCTCCCTCTTCCTTCCTCTCTCTAAGCATGTCCTCCGGTGAGGATTAAAAAAAATTATTCATGAATGACACAAAATATGTTGCTTGCTACACTTTGTCCATTTATTAGAGTGGGTATCATCCTCATGTAATTTTTCTTTTACATGTTGGTTGCCCAGGACAGGTATCTTGGCGGGGTGTGGGGGCACCGAGTTCTTCATGTGGGTAATGTCACTGATTCTGTTTGCTTGGGATACACACTGAGTTAACCTCATTGGATTTTCCCCAGGAATTGATGCGCATACACGTGGTGGGTCATTATGCTGCTGCACCTGTGTAGTGTGAAGGTCAGTGTGTTTTTCTGATTATAAGAACCCATCCATGTCATTCCATTATAAACACACTCCACTCATAATGGAATGTGCCTCAGTCCAGAGTTTAGTGTGGTTGCCCAGCCCAGAGATTCTTTCAAGCGCAGTCCTGACATTTGAGATCCATCACCTTCATCAACCCCAAACCTGACTGTGCTCCATTTTAAGATAATTTTCTTTGCATGACAACTCCTCTTGTGTGATGTGAATGTACAGTTGTGAAAAGTGTATTTATCCCTGGAAAAAAAACACACCACTCTATGATGGTCCTTCCCAAATGCCAGCCGGGAGCTTTGCTGGCCTGTGGTTAATTGCCTTACAGTCAATATGGACACACAGAAATACCCCTGGAGACGAGAGCAGCGATCTTTCCTGCTGACTCGGCGTCGGGCGGGCCCCAGGGAAGGTTGCCAGTTCATTAGAAGGGCCTCTTGCAGTTGGTGGCTCTCCCGGAAGGGCTTCCCCGACTCCTCTCAGACATCCCTCCAAGTCCACTCCTTTCCGTATTTCAGAAGTTCTACAACTTCTAGGGACAGCCCCACAAATCCTGATCTGTGTTGGATGCTTTTCCTGGGTGGGTTCCTTTTTTACTCACCACAATCTGAAGTCATGGGTATGACCGTTGTTCCTACCTTACCTCTGAGGGAACTGAGCCATGGAGGGCTGAGTCACTGCTCCAAAGCGTCTGGTGTGTAAGGAGCAGGGATTCGAATGAGGCTGTCTGTCTGTCTGTCTGAGCTGGAATCCCCGTCCATTCCAAAGAATTTAGCAAATCAGTTCTTTTGCATTTCTCAGAATTTGATCAAAAGCTTCTGGAGTACGGAGGCAGAAGTAAGATGTGGTCCTTTGCCAGAATTGACTACCTTTTGTGGCTGGAGGGAAGGGAAGGGAAGGGAAGGGAAGGGAAGGGAAGGGAAGGGAAGGGAAGAAATAGGGACAAGAACATGGCTCATTAGATTTCTCTCTATCAGAGCCTGTGTTAGGTGGCAGGGCTTGGAAGAATAGGGCATTAGAGTTGAGGGATCTTTAAAACTTCTCATGTAGAAAGTGAGGCCTGAGAGGCTGTGTGTCATTCAAGATCAGCCAGAAAGAAACAGCAGGGCTCAGGGGGATCCACTCAGCTTCTGTCTGCTCATGACTGCACACCTCCCTCCTGATACGGGACGTTCCTGGTCAGTTCCTTCTCCTTGACCCCAAACCCTATATAATACAGGACACCTATGGTTTTGTAACTTTTGTGTCCTTGCTTAAGTCTTCCAAACTAAAAGTGATAGCACAATAATTGCTGTGAGCGTCATCCTGACGCAGCAGCCCGGAGGACCCGCGGTTGAGGGTCTACTCTTTCTATTCACCATGCCCAGCAGGGCCAGCGCTGCAAGCACCTGTGCTTTGACATCTTTTTGGTACGCTCTTTAGAAGGTGTCTTGTTTGAATACATAATCTGTCCTGTTCTTTCAAAGTAAGTGCTTTTATAAAAGGTCTGGACTGTCTTTTAAATGTTCGTTGTTTTTTTTCTCACTTAAAGGGAAATGTATTTCTAGTCCCTTTGCAGACTCAACTCTAGAAAGGAGCACAGGTACAGGAAAGATGCTTTGTGTGCAATTCAAAGCTTAGTTTAAAATAGGGCACGCACATTGCGTAGATATTTTCTTCAGACAGCAGGTGGGAAAAGTGTCTGTGTGTGTGTGTGTGTGTAGCTAACTGTTTTGAGCTTTGCTTACTTGAGGAGTGTATAGTAAGTGATTTTCTTTTTCAGTCAAAGGAGTGCCAGCTTAATATGCAGCCACAGATGCGATGCCTCTTTTCCTTGGTAGTACTGTATTTAGAGACCATAATTTTCTTTTTCAACAAGATCTAGGGTCCCCTAGCACTGTTTCCACCCCACCCCCACCCCCACCCCGTGCCCATTTGCATTATGCAGAATTCTTAGAGAACACAGCATCACTAATGTTCTGTTGTGGTCTCAGTACAGACTGTGTGTCAGCATATATGGGTCCTGTATCTGCTTGCTTAGCTACACCTTCTTTCTTTCTTTTTTTGTTTTGTTAATCCTCACCTGAGGATATTTTTCCCATTGATTTTTAGAAAGAGTGGAAGAGAGGGAAGAAGGGAAGGAGAGAGAGAGAGTGAGTTGGTTGCCCCCCACAGGGGCCAGGGATGGAACCTGCAACCCAGATATGTGCCCTTGACTGGGTATTGAACCCGTGACCCTTCCGTGTGCAGGCCGATGCTCTAACCACTTAGCCACCATTAGATACCCTGGTTCAGTAGCTTTCTGGTGAGACCCAGGCATCTGCATTTTATTCAGGTCATTTTGATGAACAGTTTGGAAACCACTGGCAAGTGTATGGAGCTGTGAATTCCCCTTTCCCAAATAAGGATAATAACAGAGCAGGCACTTGGGTTTTTTAGAGAATTTAATGGTAGGTAGCATGGAGGGAAAGATCCTTCCACATGCCTGACACATAGTAGTTGCTCAACATCAGTAGAGATGATGATGATGATGATAATGAAGATGATGATGATGGTAGTATTGATAATGATATAGGTCTATTTGCACACTAATTAGATATGCATAAATTACATCCTTGTTGCAGAAGTATGAGCTTTACTTTATATACACTGACTGGCCAGATTATTATGACCGGCCAGATTATTATGACCACCCCATCAGTACAATGAAGTGAATTAGTTATGCAAATAATAATAATAATAATAAAACCTTGAGAGTATTTGCTTAGGATGTTTTCAATATTCAGTACTTTTGGAAGTGTCAATGAAGTACTGATG